AACCTGGGGTTCCGCCTCCATCAATCATGCATTCACACAAAAATACACACTCTTGTGTGTTACAGCCTGCTCAGTGTTTTATAACTAAGGTGTCACTTTATTTTTAAGCTCATTTAATAAGACAAGTTGAACCAGAACAGACTCATTTGGAGCAGCATAGAAACACATACAGTACACACATGGATCACTGTGTAGAGCTATGGGCAGCTTCTGCACAACTTCTATAATTAATTAAAGTCCCACTCCAGAAACATTTTCATTTTTATATTTGTATATAAAAATACTTTACTATAAACAATATGCAGTCTAACACAGCTTTTCCTCAAAAAAATTTCAGTGGGCCTCTGTAATAGGAATGAACATTGCCCCTCATTGTGCATTCCAGGATCTATGAATGTTGCCGTCATCCCTTATGTGGATTTGAATAATTTTGCACGCCCAATTTTTCAGTTTTTTTATTTGTTAAAAAAGTTTGACATATCCAATAAATTTCGTTCCACTTCATGATTGTGTCCCACTTGTTGTTGATTCTTCACAAAAAATTACAGTTTTATATCTTTATGTTTGAAGCCTGAAATGTGGCAAAAGGTCGCAAAGTTCAAGGGGGCCGAATACTTTCGCAAGGCACTGTAACATCAAGATTCCCCTTCTTTGGAACTAAGAGGCCAAGCCAAGTATGTGGACGGGATTGGCCTTTCAATCCACACCTCAAAGAAAATCTGTCAACGTCTCAGCCATATGAGAAAAATACTGTGAACAGACTTAGGTTTAGTGCCACTGAAGTCAAAAGGCTAAAGAAAAATAAGTACCAAACAGAGATGACCCAAAATTAAGGACACAAAAGTCACTGACGGCAGCAGGAACCTCCCCGTCCAGCCACCCACGTTCCCACCTCAGGCCATTTGCGTTTCCCATCCCTATCTCTCTCCATTTGTCTATCAGGCTCTCTTACTCCTCCTCTCTTTCTTTGCACCTACGCTTGGACCCATTAGGGCAATGGAGGGGAAACATGGGCACTGGATGGAAGGGAAACCATTCTCTGAGGACATCAACCAGGGTGGAAGGAGGAGGAAAGGACCAGAGGGGAGGACACAGAGAGTTTCTCAGTGATGAAGCCAGCTGATGAGAACTGACAGGAGGAGTAGCACTCCCTGCTCTCATCTACTCTAAGCAGGAGTGACCCTCACACACACACACACACACACACACACTCCAATACGCACTGACTCATGTACATAGACAAACAGACCTAAAGAACACACACACACAAATTTGCATGTCCACTGGCACATGTACACACTGTGAGAACATACACCTCGTTCAGGCACATGCCCACTGACTTATCTGCACTTACACACAAAGGTTCCAGCGAGCGTCAGGAGGCATGGGAGAAGGGATGGATGTGCACGAATGAATCAGGAGAGATGTGTCCATGTGTGCATTTTATGTTTTAAAACATTTATCTGATGCACTAACAGTGCATCTTACTATTTATGGCAAAGATAAAAGTGAGGTATATGCATCAACTGTGTGTGAGACCTGGGTGCAGTGAGTTAAGCAGGCAGGCAGCACTGCACATAGTCTATTATTAGAACCGGGGGTGCTGCTCACTGGTCGGGGCCCCCAGGGGACCCACACACCAGCACATGGACTCCTGCTTTTTCCCCATCTCTCTGATCTCTATTCCTTCCCATTGTTCTCTCTCTCTCTCTCTCAGGCATGTTCATTCAGGCAGTAAAGACAAGCTCCTTCAGCAACTCAGAAAAGGACGGAGAAAAGGAGGAGGCCGAATCTGAGAGAGACCCCACTGTTAACTTCACCACAGCAGTCCAGGGGCAAACAACAGCAAAACAGGAGGTTTTGCTTACAGAGCAAAACAGCAATGTGTTGACACAACATAGACAATGACACAAACATAGTGTGATCATCTACAAATGTCATTGTCTCCATCTCTGCTGCTTAATGTTTCAGCACTGTAAGTCCTTCATCTCACCTGTCATTAAAGCAGCATACAGTGCAGACTGATGCATCTCTTTAGATGTTCTGTTCAGGAAGTTTTAGCTCCTGTGGGTGGACCTATTTTCACTCTGTTCACCCACAGTGGATATCAGCTCGTTCTCCTTTTGTAAGATCAGACTACGAGACATGTAAAATGTGTCACTTTCTGTATGTCAGACAGCTTTTCCTAGAAGAGAGACACCAGACATGTTTTTAGATTAGCATTATTTCTAAAAGTAAAACATATTTTGTAGACATTTACTTGAACCTGTCCTTTTCCTGACTTTTCTAAATTTAACAGTTTACCAGAAATGATCCCTAAATCTCTAGGCAGGTTAAAACTCCTGTCTTCCTTTGCTCATTCATTCCTCTACACAGTTCCATATTAACATCAAAACATTTCAAGTCATGAATGGCTGTTCAGTTGTGTTTACTGGGCTCTTGAACCCAAACCACTTATCTGACTTGGCCATCCTCCCTCTAAATGACTTCCACTTGGCTTGATCCATCCATGGCTTTCATCCCACACAACAACTAACACTAGGGAAAAGTAGGGCAGCGCGCTAGGAGACAAGTGACTAATACCGCAAGAAGAGCCATCATTTATATAGGCTCAGTTTCTCAATGTGTTTCTTTGTCAGGAAATGAAAAAAGAAAAGGAGATCATTACAAGCAAATACTTCTTGTTGCTCAATCCAAGTATAAAGTCACCATAACAGCATAACAATGCCCAAACAGTGAAAACAGTAGAAACTAAATCTTTCCATATTAGTCACTCAACTGTGCAGTGAACTCAAAAGACCCTCACACAACTTGACATTGAGTCACACAGCTTAGGGTCCCAATCAACCAATAAACAAGAAAACATGCTCACATGCATACTGGGAGGTTGTGCATGAAACAGGCAGGAATAATTAAATACTACTTTCAATGCAATGATAATTTGAAATAATACACAGAGTACCTCCACCAAGGAGGCCATGTTTCTATTTTACCAGCGTTGTTATCCCCTTTTTTAAACAGCAGAGGGCAGTAAATATCTGTCACTTCTCTGGGAGGCTGATGGGATAGCCTGCTAATCCTACTCCTCATGGACCACAACCAAATTACTGACCTTCCACTTTAAGTTCTTTAACATAGCAGAGGAATCGCAAAGAAGATACTTCACCACACAGACAAATCTACCAATCAGTCATCACCACTTCTGTAAAAGCATGTTGTTTCACTAATCCATCCATCGTCTATACCACCTATCCTGAATAGGGTCGTACCTGCATGTTCTCCCACGCAGGCACAGGGAGAACATGCAAACTCCACACAGAAAGGCCTCGGGTCAGCCCGGAGTCAAACCCAGAGCCTTCTTTTTGTCAGGTGACAGCGCTCACCACTGTGTCATCATGCTGCCCCATTATCCTAATACACTCATTAAACCTGACATAAAGACCTGCTTACGTCAATCTCATGTTTCAATCTGGTTTATCCAAGATCAGCATTTGTGGAGTAAGTGGACAGCACTAATTCACATACAAGATTTTGCCTTGCAGCATACTGTGAACTTGCTACTCAAGTTCAGGGCCAGATCAATGCTCTGCTGCCCTAGAGTAACAGCTACAGTAAGGAATGATATGGAAAACATAAAGTGGCATTCATGAGGTTGTTGGGTCAAAAATATACAGTTAGAGAAATAGGCTTGCAATGGAAATAAATTCCTCTGTTGCTCTAAGAGTGTCACTAAGGGGCCAAGTGTAGAAGCCTAACAAGGCCTCATTTATGCTACATTCACAATTTTAAAATAACTAAATCCACCATCTTGTAGTTATAATTTACAGTGCTCATGTGTGAATCTGCAGAATTATATTAAATTCAATGTGTTAATTGCCATATGCACATTATGGAAACGTGTCTCCCTGCACAATGAAATTCTTATTTTGCTGTCCACCCTGAATGCCAAACAACACAAGTGAACCTCACGATGCAGAGACAGACATGTGGACAGCAAAGTGTTGCTTTCTGCTAGGTTTGCATCACCATAAGTGGATGGACCTGGAGGAAGGTCTGCACTGGTCTGCACTGCCACCTGGTGGTCATAGGGGCATCCAACCCAACCAAGGCTACTGTGAGTACAGCGCCCTGATGAAGCAAAGAATCCAAACCAACCAAAAATATAAAAAGAGTACAGGCGCAAAGGCTACGTGTTTTTTATGTGGTGGCAGCTGAATTCTGCTGCTTCAGTATTTGACACGACATTCGAGATGCTATCTGTGGTGACCATTTGTCATGTTGTGTGTTATGTCTAAAGGGAAATGCACATCACTGTCCAGTGATTCACTGAACAAATATGCTTCCATTTTACCAAATGTAAGAATCCACTCAGTCAAAGACACTAGTGTTTTCTTTATAACTGGTTTTGGGCATGATAAGTAAAGTGTATTCCTCACACACTTTCTGTATACTCCACATGGATCCTTCCTAATTTTGAGGGCAGCGAAAGCCAAACCGAGGCTTGAGTTAATGTGGATTGAACATTTCTGTTGCACTTACAGCTCAGTTTTGATGCGGATTCCCAGTATGTTACTGTATATGTTAACAGTCTACTGCTACTATTGTTGTTTGGTCTCCAAGTTATTTGCACTTCTAACAACTTTTTTTTTTAATCCTCAAGAGACTGTTTTCCTCCAGACATTCAGTCTTTTTGATCAAGACATTTGTTGTGAGAGACTTTCAGTTAAGTAAACGTCCTACATGTGATTTGAGATGAGGCTGTGTGACTGCAGGTCTAGTGTGCCAGCTTACCATGGTGCTGTGAACGGCTTGGCCAAGCTCTATGACGTGCGGGTCAGTGGATTGAGTGTCTGCCACGGTTGGACTGATCTGCAGGGAGAAGAAAGGTCACATATATATACTGTATCTGTTGCCCTTTAAAGCTTTACAATGCATCTCTTGATATGTCTTCTGCATAATTTACTGAACACAGATGTTAGGGGTGAAATGTCAATTTAATACTCTGGACCAGGTCACTTTTACTATTTCTTGTCTGTGCAGTGAACAGTGTTAATGTCTGAGCACTGGTGGAAAGTTGTTGTGATGATTTCTTGATTCTATCATTGGATGTGTCAACTCTCACTTACTGTACCTCCTGTTAGTCTGTATGGTGGATGATGTGTTTCTAAGAAATACACCACTTACGCTATTATTGTAGGTTGAACTAGCAACTAATCATTCTTAGCTTATCTTAGAACAGCCTTTAATAACTTTAATAAAAAATAATCTGAAACATGCGTTGAGTAAACTGAACTGACTTGTATGGCTGAGGGCTGCGGGTGATGAAGGTGGGGTCCTCGGGGATGGATGTCACTCAGGTGGGGTGGGGGATCAGGGGTGGACCTCCGGCTATGCTGTTGTAAGACATCCTGGTAGGGTTTGGTGTCAAAGTTTGTCCTCCACATCAGCACCTAGGGGGTTGAGGGAGCAGCACAAGTTCTGTGAACCAAGATCCTCACATCTAATACTATGGAAAGTAAAGCTATAACCTTAAAGTTACAAGCTCTTGTGAACATGGGGAACATAGGGTCATGCAGTCATGAAACACTCACCTGACCATCAGCTCCACCTGAGGCAAAGAGATCTCCAGCCCTGGAAAAGGCTACTGCGAGTACAGCACCCTGATGAAGCAAAGCAAAAGCAAATAATGTTAGTGAAAATGCTTCCTATGACAAACGCCATCGAGGCCTAATCCAGGGAAACACTGGTACTGGAATAACATGGCTCAGACTGCCCTTAGTGTCCGACAGTGTCTGGTATCTGTAAGCGAACTGAGCTGTGCTGTACCATCACCTTGTGTCCGTGGAGGGTGTAGATGAGACGTCCCTCCAGCAAGTCCAGGATCTTAATAGTGCTGTCACTGGAGCCACTGATCAGGTAGTTGTTGGATGGGTGGAAGGAAATGCTATTGATTCCTGCACTATGAACTGATCCAAAAGGCACAAAAATAAGCCACAGACACACAAAAAATGATCAGCAATTCCCACTATGACAGAAAACAGTAAATCTAAGTAACCCTTAGTGCCCTACAGAATAAAAGGTAAATGAATTCCTTAGTTGATGACTTGGAAATATAATTAGTCAAGATTTTTTATATTTTAGAAACATTTTCTTCCCAAACTGGATATGTAGCATTATTACAGCTCCAAATTTTTGCCATACCTTGATAATGCTGAATCAGCTTGTTGGTCCGTAGATCCCAAATCTTCAGTGTTCTGTCAGCTCCTGAGGATGCGATACAGGTGCCACTGGAGTTGAAATCAACAAATGTTGCTGATCTGGAATAACAAAAACAGTGGAGACAGTGACCCACAGCAGTTAGTCTAGTGTGTAAGTAATACACATCGTTGCCACTGGTGGGGGGGAGGATACAGAGCAATGATCACACAAAATCAGTTTACTGTAGTTCTTACATCAATTGTGTCAATCATTTTTTAAAAACTGACAAAAAAGGTTCAGTAAAACGCCTGTAAGAAATCAGAATCTATATTGAACACCTTTGTGTATCGACTGTTTGGAACAGGTTCTTGCATTACAAATGGAAAACCTATAATGTTCGAGACAGTGCACGTACAATTACACAAAAAATAAAATATCAAAACACTGTAGCCATAAAGCTACTGTTGGAAACTGGCTGACATGGGAGGGTCTTCAGCTGTAGTTCGCCTGAGCCTTCTAGACTGTAAAAGCTGGACCATTCACTCACTTGGTGCCGTGCCTGCCCCCCCCCCCCCCCCCTTGCTCTGCCCTGACTTTGGCTTTAAGAA